AGGGGGAGGGGGATGGGGAGGGGGACAAGCTAGGGGTGCGCTCGTGCAAATCCTGGGAATCCGGTGTAAAAGCAATACGCGGAGGGGGGGCTAACATCTTCTGGACGTCATCAGGGGAGAGAGGATAATAGCATGTATATTGTCAAATTGTGGAGTGCAAACTGGGTTACATCTGACGTCCTACCCCTCCCACCCATCCCTTACCATCGCGCATGGCGTAAATCTCCTCTATATTCGCACAATCGGACGTCGAGGAGGGCAATGATCCCGAGAGGGTGCGCGATGTATCGTAGAGCACGGCAAAGCAGGGCGCAGAATAGCATGGCAGAGCGTAGTGAAGCCTAGCATGGCGTGGCGTTGCGTAGTAAAGAAATGCATCGCAAAGCATCGCAACGCAAATAATCGTACCGCGCAGCGGCGCAGAATAGAATGTGTCATAGCATGGCGGTGAAGATCAATCCGTAGCATGGCATAGCACGGCGCGGCACTGCGTAGTCGAGCATTGCGTATCCTAGCATTGCAGCTGAAGACATGGGATCTCACAGCGGAACACCACATAGCATTTCATTGCATGCCGTGGCATGGCACTGGAAATAACGACGCCAGCGCTGCAGTAGGAGCACCGAGACGGTCCAAGAGCGATCCAAGACGCCAGACATTGCCTCCAGACAGCGCAAAACGCCTTCAAGACGCTCCAAGAGGCCTCCAAGAGACCTCCCAAGAGGGCCCACAGAGGCAGATATTAGAGATGTCCCTTCAATTTCTGACGGTTTTTGGCGTTGTCGCCTTTTCGGCTTACCGGCGCTCCAAGACGGCCCAAGAGGCTTCCAAGATCGTCCCAAGACGGCCAACGAAGCCTCCAAGAGGGCCCCAAGACGGCCCAAGATGGCCCCAAGACAGCCCAAGGGGCGCCCAAGATGGCCCGAGAGAGCCCCAAAACGGCCCCAAGAGGGGCACAAGAAGGGAACCAGGAACCGAAAAATCCAGCCTTCAGCCCCAAGAGGCCAACAGGAGGCCCCAAGAGGCCTCCAAGAGGCCCCAAGGGGCGCCCAAGAGGCACACCAAGAAGCCCCAAGAGGCCCCCAAGGGGCCCCGCCCCAAGAGGCCCCAAGAGGCCCCAACACGGCCCCCAAGAGGCGTCAAGACTGCCTCCCAAAGGCCTCTGAGAGGCCAACCACGAGAGCCCAACCCGCCACCCACCGCCTCCGAAAAATGGCAGCCGCCCAACCGCACCGCATCGACAACAACACCCCGACAAACGACAGCGGCGAGGCAATATGGGCCGGCGGAATGAACGAAACGATCCAATAATGACGCCCGCGCTGCAGCGGGGACACGATTTGGTACGAGCGGAAGCGCGGAAATGAGGCCTGCGCTGCAGCGGGAGCACGATTCGGAACGAGCGGAAGCGCGTACATGAGGCCAGCACTGCAGCGGGAGCACGATTTGGGACAAGCGGAAGCCCCAAGATGAGGCCAGCGCTTTAGCGGGAACAACACTTTGAAACAACCCAAGCGGAAACCCAACTCCCGGGAATCCTGTAAAAAACAATACGCGGAGGGGGCCGAACATCTTCTGGGCGTCATCCGGGGAGAGAGGAGAATAGTATTTATATTGCGTAATTGAGGATTGCAGGCTGGTTGCGCTAGCGTCACATCTGACGTCCTACCTCTCGCTCCCATCCCTTACCACGGCGTAGATCTCCTATCTATTCGCACAATCGAGTGTCGAGCAGGGCAATGATCCCAAGAGGGTACGCGATGGATGGACACGCATTGCGTAGAAGAGCACGGCAGAACATAACACGTCATAGCATGGCGTGGCATTGCGTAGTGAAGCATTGCATCACAAAACGTTGCAACTCAAAACGTGGCATCGCACAGCGGTGCGCAACACAGCATCGCATTGCATGCCGTGGCATGGCACCGGATGACTTGGAGGGTAAATGGCCCGTCTACGAGAGGAAAAGGCCTGTCCGGAATGTCCATGTCCTCCGCAACTGTGCCTGCCCGATGTGGGCGCTTTCGAATGCCAAGTGCCGTCCAGAGGCGCGTGAACGAAACCAGCGCTGCAGCAGGAACACGATTGGAATGTCCGAAGCGCGGAAATGAGGGCGACGCTGCAGCGGGAACAATACTGCATTTTGGAACCAGAAACGACCGGATGGAAAAAACACATAGGACTAACCAAATAATGGCATCCTGTGTAACAGCAATACGCGGGGAGGAGGGAACACTCTCCAGACAGAGTCAGGGAAGAGAGGATAGTAGTATTCATATAGTGTAATTGTGGAGGGGGAGGAGGAGGAGGAGGAGGAGGAGGAGGAGGAGGAGAGGAGGAGGAGGAGGAGGAGGAGGAGGAGGAGGAGGAGGAGGAGAGGGGAGGAGGAGGGTGGAGGAGGAGGAGGAGGAGGAGGAGGAGGAGGGGGAGTATGAGGAGGAGGATGATGATGAGGAGGAGGTGGAGGAGGTGGAGGAGGCCTTTTCCGCGGCGACAGCAGTCTGAAAGTCAGGCGCGCGCGGCGCGGCTGCGAATTAGGCACGCCAGGGGATGCGGTGGTCGCCAGCGGCTGCCGCCAGGGCAGTGCGCCGCGGCGGCCGGCCGTGCGGTGGGCGCTGGCAGGGCGCCGATCGCGTGCAAGGGGCTGCACGCACGAGTGGCCCTGGGCAGCAGGGACCTGTGGTGCGCGGCCTGAGGGGGGGCCCTTCGGGGACACCGCCGGGCGCGCAAGCCGCTGCTGTAGCATGGCATTGAAAGATCGGGAGGCCCCATTGGGCCCGCACCAGAGGTCACCCTGGCGAAAGGTCACTCTTGCGTGTAGTCGAGATTTTGAGCAGGGACCGGATTGTCCCGGCATCCCTATAGGCCTACCACGACATGTTCGTAGAACCCAAAGGTGTTCTAATCACAAAAACAATGCTCTCAGAACATAAGCCCGATGTTTCAAAGCAAGACAGTCCCGGCCAGAAGTGTTCTGAGAACATCTGGTGGAAACCACCAAAGGTTCTCAGAACATTTCTTGGTATGCCTGTAGGCGAGCCAAGACGCTTCGCCACTGCTGGAATATTCCACCCAACTCCTGCTCAGCGCGGGTGCAGAGGCAGCCGGCGGTTGCCGAGCGAGGCCCGCGAAGGTCCCTCACGGAGGCCGCCTCGCGGAGGCCGCCGCGGAGGCCTCGAGAATGGTCTGCGCCGGCCGCCGAGGTCTCGGCAAGCCCTCTGCGGAGGGGCCCCAGAAGTTGCCGGAGGCCTCGGAGGGATCCCTGCAGGCGTCTGAAGGCCCCCTCACCAAATCCCTAAGCCTCTCGGTCCTCCTCCTCCTCCTCCTCCTCCTCCTCCTCCTCCTCCTCCTCCTCCTCCTCGGGCCACACTGTACACCGGAGAGGGGGGGGGGGTGGAGGGGGGGAAAAGCGGGGCATAAAGAGAGAAAGAGGAGAGCAACAGCAACAAGGGATTCGACTTGACCGAGGCCTCGAACATTTCATCATCTACCTTCCCTTTTGGGGAGAACTCCATGTCGAGAAATTACCGTGGCCAGCCCTCAAGACACCCCCCCGCCAACCCTCCCAGCCAACCCTGGATAGGGCAATTCTTCCAGCTGATTCTAAGAACCACTTTCGTGGTTTGGCTACTTCGATGATCCCATTCCCATTCCAATTCATCTTCCCTCCTCCCTGTTCCTCCTCCTGCTCCTGCCTCCTTATCTCCCCTTCTCTTCCCTCCTCTTCCTCTTCCGCTTCCTCTTACCTCCTCTTCCTCCTCCTCCTCCTCTTCCTCCTCCTCCTCCTCCCTCCTCCCTCCTCCCTCCTCCCTCCTCCCTCCTCGTCCTCCTCCTCGTCCTCCTCCCCCTCCTCCTCCTCCTCCTCCTTCCTCTTCCTGGTCCCTCCTCCTCCTCCTCCTCCTCCTTCTCCTCCTCCTCATACTCCATCCCCTTTCCTTATGAACGACTTCTCCCTGTCGCGCCCCGGAACCGGTCGGAGGGGCGGCCTGGGCGTTTCGCCCGAGACGTCCTCACAGAGTATGATGCTGAAGCTCCGACTCTGCAGCAGTTTCATGGACGGCGTGCGGGCCGCTTTCAGCATGTGGCCTCCGCCTTAGCGCTAGAGGAAAAAGAACTATGCACATACACCGATTCTGGCCAGGCCCATCCTGAGCCCAGGATCGGTGCATACGCCCTCCTGCCTTGGCCAGGAAGGCATATGCACCGATGCTGGGTCAAGGATGGGCCTTGCAAGGATCGGTGCATGTGCATAGTTCTCTTCGCCCGAAGCGCCGCGCGCACGCGTAGTAAAACGTTGCAAGAGCTCCGCGGATGCAGGCCGGTTCCTTGTCAACACGTGGCTCTCGCCGGAGCGCCGCGCAGATTCGTCCTCAACGCTTGCAAGAGCTTCGCGGATGGAGCGCGGTTCCTTTTCAAGATGCGTCTCTCGCCTGAGCGCCGCGCGCACTCGTCTTAAGAGTGTACAGCGGCTTGAATTGTTCTTGTGGTTCACGTCTCACGAACATGGTGTTTTGGCACGATGTCGGAACGTCGGGGCGCAACACTCATGCTGATTCGCGGTGTTGAAGACCCAGGAATGGTTTCCAGCACGATTCAGGGTCGTCAAGTAACAATAACGGTGATTCGCGGCGTTGAACTCCCAGGGGGGGTGCTCTGGCACAGTTCCGGATTTTGGAACGGTTGTCCTCAAAAGGGGGACTTCCCTCAGTGAAAATGAACCCTTGTAGGGGCCAGTGAAGAGGGAAGTTGGACGGAGGATTTATTGCAATCTCGTTGATGAGTCTTGGGTTTTCACTGGCCCCTCCTCTTCTTTCTCCTCTTCCCTCCTCCTCCTCCTTCTCCTCCTCCTCCTACTCTTCCCTCCTCTTCTCCTTCCCTCTTCCTCCTCCTCCTCCTCCTCCGCCGCAGGCGCAGCAGGGGCTGCCGGACCGGAGCGCTGGCTCCTGCCGCGGGCGGCGCCCGCGTGCGCGCGCAACTCCCGCGGTGTGTGTGCACCCGTCTCACTTTGCGGGCTGGCCGCAGCGCTCGAACTGCGCGCTGAGGTCACGCAGCCTCGCACCCTCTCTCCCTCCCTCCCTCCCTCCCCTCCTGCCTCCTCCCTCCCTCCCTCCCCTCCTGCCTCCCTCCCTCCTTCCCTCCCTCCCTTCCGCCTCCTCCTCCCCTCTTCCCTCCTCCCTTCACCCCTCCCTGCTCACTCCCTCCTCCTCCCGGTCCGGCTCCTGCTCCTCCTCCTCCTTTGCTGCGTCCCCCTTCCTTCTGAAGAACCCCTCCGTGTCGCATCCCCACAAACGTGTCGGTCGGGCGGGCGGGGCGTTTTTCGCCTGAGGCTTCCTCACCATCATGGTGCTGAAGTCTGACACTTGCACCAACCTGACGGATGGAGGGCGGGTAGTTTTCAAAAGGTGGCTCTCGCCTTCGCGCCGCGCGCAGTCGTCGGATGGGAGGCTGGTCGTTTTCGAGATGTGGCTCCCGCCTCAGCACAAGATGTGGCTCTCGCCGTCACGCCGCGCGCATGTGTCTCAAAGTATTGCGGCCGTTTCACGGATGGAGGGCGGTCCGTTTTCAAAATGCGGCGCTCGCCCTAGCGCCATGCGCATTCTCCGTAAAAATTAGCAGCCGCTTGAAGTATAGAAGGTGGTTCCTGTTTTGAATGTTAGCTAGCGTGAGCCCCAAACAGTAGGTTCTTGTAGTCTTTGCGGTGCAATATATGCGGTGCAATCTATGTGGTGCAGTCTACGCAATGCAACCTATGTAATGCAATCTATGCGGTGCAGTCTATGTGGCGCAACTTACGCGCGGCAACCCATGTAATGCAATATAAGCGGTGCAACCAATGCGGTGCAGTCCATGTGGTGCAATGTGTGCTGTGCAGTTTGCGCGCGGCAACCTATGTAATGCAATATAGGCGGTGCAATCTATGTGGTGCAGTCCACTTTGACCGTCTTGAAGCTGTCCACTCCACTGCTCGCGCAAACATCCCACCCACCCACTCGCAACTTGGTTTGCAAAATCTCTTAAGACCGTGACGGTGGGTACCACATGGCACTTGGCAACAACAGCGACGCCGACGACGACAGCGACAACGACGATCACGACGCCGCCGACAACGACTACGACGACACCGACGACGTCTCCAACGACTTCGACGACGCCGACAACGACGACGACGACGACACCGACGACGACGACGACGACACCGACGCCGACGACGACGACGATGACAACGACGACGACGATGACGACGCCGACGACGACGATAACGACGACACCGACGACGACGACGACGTCAACGACGCCGACGACGACGACGACGACGGCGGCGACGACGGCGACGCCGACGTCGACGTCGACGAAGACGACAACGACGCCGACGCCGACGACGACGACGAAGACGACGACGACGTCGCCAACGAAGACAACGAGGAAGGAGGGAGGACGACGACGGCGACAACGACGACAACGACGAGGGAGGAGGGAGGACGGCGACGACGCGAACGACGAAGAAGGAGGAAGGACGGCGACGCCGACGACGGCAACGACGAGGGAGGAGGGGGACGACGACGACGACGACGACGACGACGACGACGACGGCGACGAAATAGGAGGGACGACGACGAGACGCCGACGACGGACGACGACGACGACGAGGGAGGAGGAGGAAGGACGACCACGGCGACAACGACGACGGAAACGACCACGACGCCAAAGAGGACGACGACGACGAACACGAGGAAAGACAGAGGACGACGTAGGCGACGACGTCGACGACAGCGACGCGGGAGGAGGGAGGACGGCGACGACGACGACGACGACGCAAAAGCGCGCGCGCACGCTTTTGTTGAACATCCGTGTTGCTAAACCTTGTGTTGTTGTAGGTTTTTTGGACGCGCGATTTCGAAATCCTTCCGAAACCGATGGGTTTTGAAGGCTTTCGGCGTACGCGCGCGACGACGCGCGCGTCTGCACTTCGTCCCGCTTTTGCAGAGGATTCTCGCGACGGCACACGCGCAAGGGCGGGGCGTTCGACAGATTTCGACATGCGCGCGCGAAGCCCGTTTGGTAGCATTTTGTGAAAATCTTGAAAAAACATTGGTTTTCCTAAGATTTCGCAAGAGCTCGCGCGGAAGCTTTTTTAGCAACTCTGTGTTGCGGAACCCTGTGTTTTTGTATGTTTGTTGGAAACTCGATTGCGAAATCCTTCCGGCACCGAAGGTTTTTGAAGAATTTCGGCATGCGCGCGACGACGCGCGCGTGCGCACTTCGTCCCATTTTTTGCAAGGGATTCGTGAACAAGTGTTATGTTAGAGCAAAAAATGTCACCGCATAGTGTTTTTTTACAAGGAAACCTCAGGGGGGGGATACCGGTTTGGCTGGGATGATATGATTTCATATTTAGGATGGACGAGTGTGCATAATATATATATATATATATATATATATATATGAAATTATACGATCCCGGGGGGAAGCGTTAAGTCCGGAAGGGGGGGTAGAGTCTATTTTCTTGGTGCAAAGGGGAATCTATGCGACGGCGACGGCGGCGACGGGCGGCACCGCCCGCAGAAGCCGCAACTCGCCCGAAGCGGCGGCGACGGCGACTGCGACGGCGACTGCGGCGACGGGCGGTGGTGCTGAGGGTTTCTGCAGCGGGAGCTCCCGGCAGCTGCGTTCCTTGCAGCGCGGTCCGCGGGCCTCCGTGGCTCTGCGCGCGCGGCCCGCGGCAATTTTACCCGTCGCGTGCGCGCCGAGGCGCCATGGGCGCTGGTTCGACGCGGTTGCGCCGGGATGACAGGGGCGCGCCGGTGCATTTCCCTCCCGTGGGTCGATAAAGCCACCGCGGTCCTGAACATCTGTCCGCGTGCCCCTCCTCCCTCCGTCTCCCAGTCGCGGCTGGTGGACTGATCCCTCTTCTGCTACTTGAGGTGCCTCCTCGATCCAGTGTGTTGCTGCGCTCGGTGATGCTCCTGCTTTTGTCCATCCAGCGTTCCCGCTCTGGTGCCTACTGTGAGCGTCGCTGTGTCAGTGTTGCTTTTTCCGAGCCGTGATTCCACGTCATCGGCGGCCTCGGATATACCAGTGAAATCCTCAATGGCCTGCTTGGCCCAAGGCGTGGAAAGTGCGCGACCTCCCCGTGGGCGAATTGCGGCGTTCCACATTCCCCGTCCAGTTTTGATTCCCCAGGCGCTGCTGCCATTGCGCCTGCGTAATTGCCCGGGCGGCTTGTCGGTGCCGCCGTAGTCGTCCTGTCCGAAATGTCACTGCTGATCTTTCCAGTCCGTCGCAGTTCGCCCAGCTCATTTTCCCCCTGGTCGTTTTTTGCGCATGGATCCTCCCATCGCTCTGCCCAATGCATCTGTGCATCTGCCGTGGGGGACAAATGCCGCTGGCCCGCCGAGTCCAGCTCCCCGCGCGCATGCAATGATCAGGTTTGTCTTCGCTTTGCGCGCTGTCTCAGGTCCCCAGAAGCTCCCGCACTGTCTCCGAACACCTTTCGTCGCTTCGCATCGTCTCTGTATTTCTCCTGCCATTCCCTGCTCCCCCCGCGCGTAGCGCCCCAGTATCTGCATCTCTCGCATGGTGCCCCTACCCCTGTCTTCGCCCGTCGCAGCCGTCTGGTAGTTCTCGCGCTTCTCGACCGCCCAGGCAAAGTAGGTGGTTTGTTTTCCTGGGTTCGACTTCCCTCCTCCTGTTTCGGATGTATCTTCGAATCACCGGGTCGTGTCGTTGTAAATGGTTTGCGATATCCTGGCTATTTCCCCCCCTGTCGAAGCGTATGCGTTCGCGTGATTTGCGCGTGCATGAATGTGTTGTCAAGCCGCGTGTCCCGCCTGTGACCCGGTGTTTTGCGTCGTGCGAAGTTTGATCCTTGTCGATGTCTCTCTCTCTCTCTCTCTCTTGTGTCTTCCATCTTGGTTTTGCACAAATATTGTATCTATCATCGAACCACCATGTGCATAATGTAAACTCCCATCTCTGCCCCCTGAATAATCGTGAACGCGTGCGTCCAGTCGTCGGCGCATTCCACGCCCGTAGTCGGGTAGCTGATGGCTTTGGCGGCGAATGGTTCGTCTTTCTCCACAGATGTCGCCCGCGCCGAAGCAGCGAATAAAAAAACTCTTAGTTCGGGCAAAAACATTCGTGAATGGTAACAAGCTGACTCCGGCTTTCTCGGCTCTCCACTGTCGTGGCCGCGCGCGCCAAGCCATCCCCCTACATCTGTTCTTAATTCCCCGTTGCGCCCAGCATGGGTGCCCTGGCGCCTATCCCGTGGTGCGTGTCCCTTCGTGCCAAGCTACTCCCGTCGAGCAGTTCGCATGCGCGTCGCTCCTTCCTCCTGTTCCCTCTTTCCGATTCTGCATTTTTTCTGCTGCGAACGAATCGGCTACGCGTAGGGGTGGCCCTGGGCTAGAGTGACCATTGGTGCGCGGCTTCAGGGGCGCCCGTGGGGGCCCAGCGGAATCGCGCCAGCTGGCGTTGCCGCGCCGCGTCAACGATCGGCGTGGCGCTGCTCGAAAGATTTGTCCGCGCCAGCGGGCAACCGTGGAATTCCGCCGATTGAATTCGAGCGCCCCGAATGGCACTTCGAAGGCGCTGCGAAAGCAAACGCTGCTGGGGGCCGCCGCGATGAGGTCTGGCACTGCCGGGCTGTATCGCGATGACGTCTGCCCGGGCCTGGCGTCGTGGCCAAAGCCGGCCCCATCCGAGAGCCTGGAACATGCTTGAATATCTGTGGGTAACTAACAATAACAAAGATCCCCATTTGTCCCCAAAACATATTCAAACATATCAAAGTGTATTCAAAAATATCCCAAAATGTCCCAATCTATTCAAGTCAGACGTTTTGGGATTTGGGCTGGGATTCGGGACTGGTCCTGGGCCGGAAAACGCGCCGTCTGGTCGACCAGCTCCCCCTCGGGTAACCAATGCAAGCTGTAGGGTGCGACGCGTATGCGTTGCTGTTGACTGCAAGGGGTGGGCCCAAACCCGGCGCGCTCTGATGCGAGCGTAATCGCGCGATGCGGGTGCCGACGCGAGGTCACGCTCACTCCACGAGTAAAATCACCCGACAACCCGTGGTCGAACGAAACTGATCCGTGCCGGTCCAGAGGGGCTTTCGCGCGCAATGTGAGGGCGCCGTCCAGTCTCGTTTGAAAGGCAAAAGAAGTCTCTGCGTCAGCCGCATGCCTGGTTCCACAGTCCCGCACCTGCGTATCGTCTCGGTGAGTGCGGTGATACATCGCAAGCCACTAGTGCTTCTCAGTCGTTGCCCTCCCCTCTTTTGCCCAGTTTCTATCCGCCCACCCATCTCATTTTCTGTAGCAAAGCCGTCTGTTTCCTATGCCTGAAGATCAAATATGATTTGGATATCCCCTCGTCGTCTTCCTTTCTCTTTGCAGCTCTGATCTTCATTTCCTCGATCTGCCCCCTCAAGGCCCCAAGGTGTCCTAGATGTACAATTGGGTCGAATGTTAACCAAGCTACTTCTACCGCCACCCCCCAATGTCGATAGGCGGATCGGCTCTCCTCTTCGCCGGTTTCCTACAGAACTTCAGCGTGGCAATCTTGTCGCTGGCAAGTGCTGCTCCGGTGTCCGAATCATCTGGCAAGTGAAGCCTGTCCTCCACTGGCTCTCTATGATTTTCTACATGGTGCTCAAGATTGATGACTTCTGCTGCTGGCCCTCCCTCGTTCGTTTGTTTTGCCAGCTCAGCCTGCCATTCGTCGCATTCCCACCAGGTTCGTGGAGAGTAATAACATATTTTCTTCGGTCCTCTACAATTCTTTGGTATTCAATCCTGAGTCGGTGCATTTCGCTGTGGTTATTGGCTTCGTGAGCTTGCTGGATTTCTTCCACCAACTTCTCTCTTCTCTTCTTTCCCGCTGCTCTTTTTATGGGCAACCGACGTTTCTGTCAAGTCTTCGCAGATGCCGTCGTACGCCTGCTGTGAGTGTGCCCCGGCCATGTCCTCTCTCATCGGTAACCTCTTTCCCAACAATTCGAGGTGTCTCTCTCTCACTCGCTCTCTCTCTCTCTTGGTCTCTCAGGGCTGAAGCGGCCGGGTCGTCACAAGCCTTCCTTTTCGGGAGGGTCTCCTGCATTGCCGTTCTCGCCTCGTCTTTTTACATTTTCAAGCATTGTCTGGCGTGGCCTCTTACAGTATCAGTTCACAGTCCTCCGTTCCCGTTTCCAAAATCTTCTACTCGAGGCTGTGGAAGAACTCGTTGCGTATATTGCCACTCAGGATGCGCTTCATGAGCGATTCTATGTATACACTTCCCTCGTGTCTCCTGGTCTTCCCGGGTGGGGAAAACCTATGCTTCGGTCCTACATCCAGTACTATCCATGCTGGCATGTGGTCCCTATACTCCTGCTTTTTACCACCTGTAGCCTCTTAGCAGCAGCTCTGAAAGTGACGCGTCTCCTGACCGCTTGTAATGCGGCCGCCAGGAATGCATCATGGTCAATGCCTGTGGTTGTTCCATGCTCGCTGTAAAAAGGTGGTCCACACTCGTAATGCGTCGTCGCAATCGCGAGGCCGTTCTGTGCACAAAAGCCCCTGCTTTTCCTACCGCTGCCGTTCTCTATTTCTTTCGCCCCGGGCCCAAGCGTGTGTGATCTGCTTCTCCATGGTTTTCCTTCCCCTCTGTGAAGGTGCAACTGACTGTTGATGTCACCTCCGACGACAATCATCGATCTGCAGGCTCTGCCCTGCCGCAAACCCTTCCGCCCACTTTCGAATTCTCGGTTCTATTGTAATGTCTCCGTAGCTGCGGTAATAGGTCTCGGTGGGAGGCAGGTCGCAAAACGGTCATGTCGAATTCTTTGCTACCAAATCGTACTTCTGAAGCCCATTACTGTGTTGCCCCTGGCGGTATGCAGATGTGCCAGGGCGCTTTTGTTTTGGCTGTGTCGTGCCACAACACATGCTACTCCACATGCTTTAGACATCCATTACTCTCTCTCTCTTTCCTGCAGATTGGGATCCCTAATGGTGGCTCAGGTGCGTCGTCTGTGTTGATTCTGGTCCAGCCCACGTGTGTGTATACCTGGCAATATCACCACGTCCTACCCTCGCACTTCCTGACTGATCTCCTCCGGCCTCTCGTTCGAACTGGCAGCCAGAGGGCTGTAGAAAACAATCTTCGTAGTCGTTGAGGGGAAATATGCGAATTCATGTACACCTTGCGAAATGCTTAAGAAATCATGGGTTAAGAAATTCAGAGTCTCAGAAATTTAATAAAACCCAGAACTTCTGTCAAAATCTGGGGATTTACATTGAAAGCTTAAGAATAATCGAGACTCTGGCCGAAAACTTAGGTTTTCTTAAGCATCGCCTGGGGTGTACACACGCCATCTCGTCTCGCCCCGTGCTCCCTCCCCGACCTGCTCGAGCGGCAGGGCAAGGAGTCTTGTGTGAAGGAATGCTCGGTGCACTTCCTTCGGGGTCGGTTCTTTGGTCTCGAATGCCGACGGCGACTAGAATGATGAGGAGGAGGAGGAAGAGGAAGACGAGGAGGAGGGACGGATAGAGGAGCAGGGGCAGGAGCAGGAGAAGCAATCATACACAAACATATTGAGAATATGAATAACAGTTAGAACATTAAGACAACTAATACTAGCCAGAATGCTAACCATAAAAAGAACAATGCATAAGACTAGCAATAAGAAGACAAACGCACACATAGTATTATTCATAAGAAGAATAATGCAACTACTAATGCACATCATAATCATAGTTATAATAAAGGTACTGGTACGGATACGCAGACTGATATTACTGATGATAAAGAGAATAATAACAGGGAAACGGATAACAATATTACTACTAGTAACAAGTGTACTAGTAATACAAATTATGATAATCGTGACGATGCTATTCTCAATCAAATCAAAATGCGAAGAGGCTGGGGAGGAGGGGTGGAGCAGGAGGAGGAGGGAGAGAGGGCGGAGGACGCCCGGCCTCGCGTCGAGCGCCGCCATCTGCCCTTTCACGGCCTCGGCCCGCCGCTGCTGCGCCTTGGGCGCCGACGGCTGCCGCCCGCGCCGGAGCCCGTCCGGGCCCAGCAGGGCGCGGCCGGGGAGCGGGCACAGGCCGCTGCGGGCGAGCGAGCGGTCCCCGGCGAGGAGGGCGAACCCGTTGTAGGTGGGCGCCAGCTGGCCTGGCGGGGAGGGCGGCGCCTCTCCGCTGCCGGGGGGAGCAGAGGGGGCGCTATAGCGGTGGCGCGCCGCCGTGGGGGGCCCGTCGGCGTGCTACCGATGTCGCTCCTCTGCTTCCCTCCCTCTGGCCCTCCCTCCCCTCCCTCCCTCCCCTCCCTCCCTCCCTCCCTCTCCTCCGCCTCCGCCTCCGCCTCCGCCTCCTCCTCCTCCTCCTCCTCCTCCTCCTCCTCCTTCTCCTCCTCCTCCTCCTCCGCCTCCGCCTCCGCCTCCTCCTCCTCCTCCTCCTTCTCCTCCTCCTCCTCCTCCTCCTCCTTCCTCCTCCGCCCTCCTCCTCCTCCTCCCCCCTCCCCCTCCCCCTCCTCCTCCCCCTGCCGCAAGAGGACACCAGGGCCTCGGGCAAGAAAGCGAGGGAGTGCCACGCGGGCGAGCTCCCGACGGCGGCGTGTGTCATCGCTCACCCTCGTCGGCACACGTATTGGGAAACGTTTTTTTTTTTTTTTTTTTTTGTTTTTTTTTTTTTTTTTTTTTTTTTTTTTTTTTTTTTTTTTTTTTTTTTTTTTTTTTTTTTTTTTTTTTTTTTTTTTTAAAAAAAAAAAAAAAGAAGGCCCTGGAGGAGATGGGTCGTGGACCTGTGGCAGCGGGAATCGACACGTTGTGTTCGACTCCGTCGTGGCAAATATGACACGTGGTGCTCGGCTCCGTCGTGGCAAAGAGCTTGGGGTCAGTCAGAGTCCATGGGGTCGGCGATGTTGCAGTCGATGGGGTCGGTGGTGAGACGGTCAATGGGGTCGGCGATGCTGCACGCCATGGCGTATGTGATTTCGCCTCTGCGGGGCAAGCTCAGCCCCACAAAAGAGAAATCTCGCCGCAATGCTTGGTTGATCTATCCTCTGGTGTGTTGTCGTCTATCAGAACGTAATGGGGGCAGCTGCAGAACAGCTGTCCCTGCAGGACAAATACACATCGGCCAGGCTGATTCACATACCCCCTCTGATGTGCTCTCGTCAACCAAGTCGTGGAGCGATCGCAGCTGTAGGACGGGGTGTCCTCATAAGCACTGGGCGTTGTAGCGCTCTGCTTTGCAATCTCAGGTGGGCCGAAGCTGGCGCGCTGACGGATCTGGCGTTGAGGCGGCCGTCGGGGCGAGGCCCGCAGGTGCAAAGGGCCTCCTGTGCGCGGACTTCGAACCGCAGTGCAGTGGCATTGCTTCAGGCTGGGCTGGACTGCGGGAGGGGCGAGCTGTAGCATGAAGGAAGCAGGCCCTGGAGGCGATGGGTCGCGGGCCTGTGGTGTCCAAAGCCCGGACAGCGGAGCGCCAGAGAGGGCTTCCAAAAACCCCCACGGAGCTCTCTGGAAGCTCTTGAAAAAGGGGCTTCCGAAACACGAAACAAAAACAACTTCTGGAGAGCTTCCAGGGCACAGGTGCTGGGAAACGTTTTTTTTTTTTTTTTTTTTTTTTTTTTTTTTTTTTTTTTTTTTTTTTTTTTTTTTTTTTTTTTTTTTTTTTTTTTTTTTTTTAAAAAAAAAAAAAAAGCCCTTCGGGACAAGCTCATAGCTCGCAGGAGGCGCGCCGAGGGTGACCAGGCCCTGGAGGACATGGGCCGTGGACGCTCGCCGGTCTCGGGCCCCATGGGCCCACCGCGGGCCCCAGGGCCGCCAAGTGTCGACTCGGGCTGCGGGGCCGGTCCTGGGGAAGGCCCCAGCCTGGCACAGACGAGCGCGCTCCACTGAA